CATTTCTGATATTTGAGTACGCTTTTCTGGCGCAGGTGTTATGCGTGCCAATGTTTAATATTAAGTTAGGGATTTCCCATTGAATATAGACCCAATCAAATCGTGTTGTTTGGTGTTTTTCTGCCTACCAGATTTTTGCATGAATACCTTAGGGTTATTCAGAACACGTTGTCTAGCTGAGTTGCTTTAGCCGCATAGAGCGAGGGGCAATAGTAATATTCTAGCCTATCATTTTAAGCAATGAAGAGCGAGCGAACTTCGAAAGGACATGAAAACGGTTTCTCCTGTATATAGAGAAAATGGTTAAGCAACAGAAAGAAGACGAAAAAAAAAACCAACTTCATCTGCTTGCAGCAGATGAAATAAACAAGCACAACAGAAATGCCAACATTGCTAAAACATTGTATTAACATATATATTGCTATGTTTTTATGACCATGATGTGGATCAATAGATAGTGAAATGGTGAAAGAAGTTACCACATCAGATGGCGTAAGCATAAATTTTATATCCGAAACAGATGAAGGGAAATATATAGCTGCAAATTCTCTAATATTATTCATAATCGATTGGATCCAAAAGTCACGTCTATAATCATGTATCAAATACCAACTCCAAGCARACAAACACGCAAGTGTAACCAGTAGAATTGTCATCAAGATATTTTGTTCATATGTTCATATTTTATTTTTCCGATCTATAGATTTGTTTGAATTTCCTTCCACTATTCGTCTCRTGTTTAAACTCTCTGAAGCTATTCGACTAAGATACTTTTGCGCAGGTGTTATGCTTGCCAATGTTTATGATTAACTTGGGGAATTCCCCTTAGTAAAGAACCAATCAAAATCTGTTGTTTTATACTAACTTCCGCCTACCAGATTTTTGCATGCATACCTTATAAAAGCAAGACAGAGAAAACAAATTGTTCAAAACATTTTGTCTAGAGCCGTTGTAACCGCACAGAGCGAAGGCTAGAGATATTCAACCTATTCATTTTGAGCAATGGATAAGGAGCAAGCAGTTCGAGAGGATATGAAAAAGGTTTCTCCAATATACAGAGAATGGTTAAGCAACAGAAAGGAAGCGAAAAAACAACTTCTTCTGCTWGCAGATAAAATMAACAAACACAACAGAAATACCAACATTGCTAAGGTCACAGGAACATCCGCATGCGTTGTWGGGRCAGGTCTTGCTGTCGGAGGTTTTGTTTCTGCTTTCTTCACGTTTGGAGCTTCTTTGATTGTTRGTGGAGTAGCCATTGGTATCAGTAGCGCTGGTGGATTAACTACCGCTGGTTCTGGGATTGYCCTTTACCTCTTAAACAGGAATATATTCAAAAAAGCCCAAAAGGYCATTGATCRAGATCARGARTTAACGAATAAATTGACCACATCCCTAAACGACTTGAGTCAGGAGACCTTAAGGATTATGAGGGATCAACARGAGCTGGAAATGTCTATTATGGACACTGTCCTCCTTACAACGAATGCAGGCCGGTTGGGAAAAATTATTAGCAAAGATGTTATCTATGATTTCGTTGCCATTGCAAAGTTGGTCAAGATTGCCGCACGCACGGTTGATAAAACAGCTGCAACAACTGCTTTTAGGGTCATGTCAGGAGTATCAAGGGTCTTTCATATCGCGGGATTTGCTATTGGATTAGCACTTTTGCCCTTCGATTTATACACTCTAGTAACATCATCCATTAGTCTGCACAAGGGCAATACATCAGATGCAGAGGRAAAAATCAGAGAAATTGYAAAAGAAATGGTTTGCSACKAAAAAGAGAAGGAACAAGAGAAGAAGGCAGAAATGAAGAGGGTAGAAGAAAATTATGAAAGTCCTAAAAAGAAAACCTAAAAGTATCTATATATGCAATGGAATTTCTTACCAAAGGGACTATATAAACATAATACAATGTTTTTATGACCATACTATAGCAGATCAATAGATAGTGAGATGGTGATTACCATCAAATCACATGGCGGAAGCATAAATTTTGAATCCGAAACAGATGAAGGGAAATATAGACGCAAATTCCCTAATATTCAAAATCGATTGGACTCAAAAGACACGTCTACAATCATGTATCAAGCTCCCATCAGTTTTAGAGACAAAGCTCGCAAATGTAACCAGTAGAATTGTCATCAGCTATTTTGTTYTTATGCTCAGAGGAAGTGCTGTATAGTCGCATCTCCCTTTTTAGAAAGTAAAATAACGAATTTAAATGTCTATTGATAGACTAGTGCGGACGCTATATAATTGTAGACAGACTAAATAAAATACAATTGTAAATCTACTAGATATATTYATGTTATTGACTCGGGAGTTGATTTTTGGTTGAGATTCTGTAGTAATGCACTAGTCAAAGTAAACCCCACCCCAACCCGGGACAGGGTAGGGACTATGTGGGGCTTGGGATCACATTTGACCAGCAACGATGCCCAAGCCCTGGGGATAAAGTGAATATTTTACGAGTAGGGGAATAGTGGGGCATTAGGTCGGGATTGGTCAAATAATTATAAAAGGCCTGGGAGACTTTTAATGCACCTTGGACTTCCCTTTTTATTTCATTTTGCTTGTGTAGGAGTTAATGTTGCTCAAACAGGTCAAATATGGTTCCGWYCAKTATGTTTAAAAAATTGCAMTAAAAACTATTTGCTATGATATTGACTCAAATTTATTCTAKTACTTGTTTAAAGATAATTTTGTTTTGTTTTGCTATAGAAAACAAAGGCMGGATTTCATTCAAAATGGCATTAATTTGTTTCACTTATAGTTCACGGTTACTCTAATGGTTTTCTCTCTGTTGTGATTTTTGGTCCCAGGGGGTCGGGGATTTGATTTCCAATTTTCCCCCACTTTCCAAGTCCATTTTTTCAAATACCCCAAATATCCCCACCCTGACCCGGGTGTGGGGAGGGGTTGGATGGGTTACTTTGACTAGTGCATAATATTATAAACAATTTCCATTCCGAGTAATACCATGACAGCCTGCGTGACGTAATTCAATAAATACTCCAGTTTCGAGATCTCATCTGTGCAGCCTTCACCTCGAAAGCATGTAATATATTCTTTTATTCAGCAGAGATCCTATTGTTATGCCAACCCTCTGTGTACAAAGAAGACAATAACAATTTATACTTGATTGAAGCTAAGCKTGCACAAAAGAGAATTCGAAACTGGAGTATTCTAATGATTAGAAAATCKTATGAACTTATAAAAAGAACTAACTGTCCTAAGTTTGCATTATTTTAGTAGATGAAAACTTGGTGGGAGATATATATCCTATAATATATATCTTATAATATCTTATATATGGCTAAGATCAGAGGTGCCAATCAGTAATAAACAGTACCAAACGAAATCTGCTTTTTGATTGCTGCTTAAGTACAGCAGCTYTATTGCTAAGTTGTGTGTTATTGTTGGAAGCTAAGATCTATCTATTTTTTATACATTGTTTTCTCAACCTATTATGAGACCCGTTCCGATCGGTGCTGACTGGCCCGTAAGAATGGAACGTCCCAGTCCCCCACGGGGAGTATAACTAACCTTTTTTTGTCGTTTTACTGGGCATAATGCTACATATATTAAAGCAATTACAATTGTAATCTCAACAATTAAGCATGCAACCAAATAGCTATTATATTATGTGTCACAATTTTCAGGCTACGTGGTGGTGTGAATATCAAAGAATTGTATACCAACCATGCGGGATCCCTGTCCATTTTATTTTTGGGTTTCCTCTAGCACATTCATGCCTTTATATGCGAAAAAAAAACAAAATGGCCGATTGTTAAAAGGTGAGTTTCGCTACGATATCTGCAAGTTTCAAAATTCAAACTTTTATCGCAAAATATCAGTCTAAACGTACTTCCAAATAAGGYAGGATAACCATATATGGCTGCTAAACGAAGAGTAGCTTTTCCGCGGGGAATTCTTTGATAAACAGACGTATATAGAAGCAGATCAATAATAAAAAATTCAACCACAACAACATAACAATTAACAAAGAACAACGGACTCTTTTCGAAGGAGATAAGTAGGTTAGTTAATGGACTATAAGCGACCACATGCCGCTGCTCTCAATATTTAATTAATCCTTTTTTTCATTATATAACGTTTATGATACAAGCTCGGGAATTCTCCACGACACAAAAATAGTCGTGCGTTGGTGGATTTTTCAGATCAGAGCGGATTTGATCTTTATATATGGACCGCAGGAACGAATCATGCAGAAAAGGAATTACATGTTAACGAAATGAAAAACAAATTTCTAACAGAACAGATTAAATTACAATTATATCATGGGTACTGTAGAAAGCTATCGTAGAGATCTAGTGAATCAAAAGAAGGATATTGTCCCGTATATTATTTATTTACCACTTGAAAACAAGATCTATTGAGAGTACTTGCTATTTTTTTATGTTCTCTGTTAGATAGCAATGGAACAGGGATATATCCCGAAATCATTCCTATGGAACAGGGATATATCCCGAAATCATTCCTATGTATATTTTGAGTTTTTGCACAGTGAACGCGATTACGAGAGTATTAAAGGCAGTTGCACCAATAGTAGTTCGTTGTATTCTAATGTAAGTCACACATAGATTATCTAGCGTTACAATATACGGTTATATCAGCTTCGTTTTTATGTTCAACTCATGCGCGTATCGGTGTGCATTGGCAGGAGACGTGGCAGGAAAATGAGATGTGTGGCAGCGAAAATCAGCGATAACAAAATATAGATTTCCCGCGCAACTAAGATATCGTCAACACAAAACCCTCATTTCCGACATCCCATTTCTATCAAATAGTTCATAGCCCGATAATTGATAATCACCTAAGCCGTTTATTGATTTACYATGAAAAGAATGGTCAGATGGGTATCCGATTGTCTCGTCCAATTGAACAAAATCAAACAAACACACTAATACAACTTATTTAATTAAAATTGAGAATTTGATAAGCAGTTGGGAAACTATAAAAATAAACTTCAATCTCTGGGCTTCACCGAAAAAAAGCTGCCGAAAGAAGAGATTTAGTTCAACTAAAAACAATTTCGGTGAGCTGTCTGAAGCTAATTGAKTGAAAAAATCAAAAACAGTTTAATTGAGTTGCATCTTTCGTGCCTAAATTATGTTCTATAAATCTTATCAGATTTTACCCACTGGTATCGTTAAATAGACGATTTAGTGGTTAGTTGTTTACCGTTTTAGCCCGATATG